TATTTTAATTCTTTATAGTCAAATAAAATAAAAACTGGAAGGTGATTATTGTCTACAGAATAACGAACTGGAACAATATTTTTGGTCATATTACGTTCTTCTCCTTTATGCATCGGTTCTTATTTTATTTTCATTAAGTTTTTCTTTCTTTCAACAAATACATCTGAGTTATTTAGACAAAAATCTTTTACTTCCTATGTCTATTTCTAAAACAAAAAGAAAAGTTATTTACTTGAACTAGATTCCAAAACAATTTACGAACAACAATTTCTTCGAAATAATAAAATGAACGTGAATGAAGATAAAAGATTCTTTCCGGAGTATGTAATTACTAATTGTTTTTATTGTTTAGCAAATGAAATATCATAACGTTGTTCATCAATTGTATATGAAAAACAGTCTTTATATTTTTGAATTTCATATACTAATCGAGATACGAAACTGATCAATAACAACGAAATATCATTATCAAGTATATGAGTACCATGTTTATATTCATCCATCAAACAATCATCACATTTTGTTTGATTACCATCTAAGTTCTTTCTGCATCAAATACAAGTTTTTCTTTTTCGAATATCATTGGATATCTTTAAATCAGTAAAGAGATGGTTCAAATTGGATATAATTGTATTTGGACTAGATAAAGCCCTCGACGCATTAAAAGATTCCGGGTCTTCTATTCTGCCTTATTTTTCACAAGTTAAAGGAAGTGTCTTGTACTATGTCCCTAAAATACGTCAAATGTTTTGGTGATATCAACGAAAAATCCTAATTTTAACATTGTTTTGTGCCATATACAGTTAGTAAACAACTTTATTCTACATATACGGCACTCATCAATGCAACAGTAGCGAATACTATTTTAATGCAAAAAAGAAAAAAACAATCGTTGGTTAGAAGAGTATTCTTGAAACAATATAGAAAACATATCTTAAAATTTTTGTGCGATTTATAATAGGAATATTTTTTCTAAAGAATACGATCTATCACTGGTGGCATCTGTGTTCTACTATCATATTTTGCATGAAAATTTATTGTCGATTAAATATATGATATAACAGTTTTCCTTCAATATGATATAGAGCACTGAAATAAAGCGGTTATGTCATATTCTCTATTTTGAAAGCATAGGGTCTAGAAACCGAAATTCACCTTTGCCTGTCTGTCGATCTGGCTAGTTGTCTGTAACACTTGGTACAAATGACCATTCTCATGGGACAGGTGACCATTTATTTGATACCATTGAGCATGTTTATTATACAAAAAACAGTTTCTGGCACAGTTGATCACTCTTATATTAGAAATCGCCATTATTTTGGCATAAATCATTATTTTTAGTCGTTATATTTAAGCAAAGTATACAATTTATCATATAAATGTACATCAGAATCTTTCAACAGAGTGGATGTGGATGTGGATGCACTTCTACAACGTGTACCCACAACCCACACCCTTCAGAAACATTATGTCCTTTTAATTCTTTACTTTTTCGATGACATACATAAGCCAATTTCGACGAAACAATTCTTCAGTCAATTCATATAATTGATTAAAATGATCCGATGCATGAGTTACTTTATACGGTTCATGACCTAGATTTAAAATATATTTATTTTTCTTAAGAAATGTATTTATACATGAAAATGTTACAAAGCCATATGACAATATCAATAATGCCAGTAAAAACCTTTTCTTTTTGTTTTTCAGGATTTTTATCATCATAACGTAAATAACAAATTCCATTATTTATTTTGGCATGGCCAAAATTAAAATTAATTGTTTTTGCATGATCAATATGTAAAATTTCATTAGATTCAGATGAAAATCGTGTTATTAACTTCATTATAACAAGAAAAAAAAATAGATAGAATAAATTAATCATCAGTTTGTTTTAAATGGTCTCGCATAAGATCAAGTGTTTTTGGTGTCATCACATAACCTTCACTTTTATAATTTTCACCTGAATAAAAAAAATATATTCGAATGCGAAAAAAATTCATTTAAATCTAACCTGAATTATGAAAATTTAAAGTTTCATCAACTTATTCTGTAAATGAAAGAATTTTAGTATTGTTTTGAATTAAAATAAAATTACAAGAGTGAGTGTGTATGTACAGAAAAAAAACACACCCTACAACAACAAAAAAACGACAATGAATAGGCGACTGCTATTATCAATAAGAAAAAAAGTTTGTTAGTGTAGCTCCTTTGAAGCTAAAATGTGGAACTCACGTATATTCTTCAAACTTGCTATCCTAATGCATCATTTATCAATTGCAAAATAGTTCTTTTCAAATATTTATGAAAGTATTGAAATATTGTTTAGAACCTAAAGCCTTTTGTGCTCGGCTGCTGAGGTATGTAATGGGAAGGAGACCAACTGCGACAACTTGAACTTAAACCTGACACTCACTATTTTCTTCAAAAGTATACGTCAGTTTCACAAAATACATGATTTATTTTTACATAAACCTTTTTCTATTAATTGTATAAATGAAATTTTTTCTGATTTATTTGGTTAACGATGAGTTCCTCCTTCATTTAGGAGGGTGTGGGTGTGAATATGGGTATAGGTGTTCTCTAAATCTTATTCAACATCCACATCCACACCCACACCCATCCACAGTAACACGTTTTTTGGCGACCAAATGAATACTTTTTTATGATTTGAATGATTTCGATGAAAATAGCTATTTATAAGCTATTGACATTTCGTGTAAATCGTGAATCGACAAATATAGGTTGTGGGTGTGAGTTCTCTTTTTACTGCATCCGAGAGTCCTGTTATAGAAAAGTATTATTTTAATGATGGATTATGTTTGTGTTTGAAAATGTCCCTTTACATATTAGTTATGTAATTTATATAAACTTCCATGGTTTTTAAAAACTTAGTTTTAGGTATAGAATTATTCCCAAACAGTTTCAAGAAGTTCAATTCCAGGTGGATCTTCCACAAAGGGCATTGTTGGAATAACATTTCTTGTTACATAAGGTTTTGTTTCTTTATTTTTCTTAAGCTGCTGTTGTAACCGTTCGATAAGTTTATCTTGCTGCTTTATTTTAGCTTTCATTTTTTCCAATTGTCTTTGCATGTTCTTCAGTTGTTTATTCTTTTTATCGTCTGTTGCTACTGGTTTCGAACTAAAAATTTAAAACTATATATTGAAACCCTGTGTTCTTGTCTTACTTAAGAGGCGCAGACGTCATACGAATTGGAATACAAATCTTGAAACTTCCTGGTATCGTAGCTTGCATTTCTCGCGTTATTTCCTGTTGAATAATCAGCATTGAACAAAAAAAGATAACGCTGATAACATTTACTAACTCTTTTAAGCCGACTATCACGCAAACTCAGATTTGTATCATGTCGTTGTTTTTTCTTCAAAAATAAAAAAAATCTGTTGAGAGAATGACAAAAATAAGTAGTTAAATAACCAACGTCTATGTCATGATGCTGATTTTTCGTACTGAATTTATCTGGTAATCGAATACGATCACGGTGATACGTCTATTACAGTTCGAACGCACAAGATCTTATCAACAGACTATAAAAGTTGTACATACGCAATAGGCTTTTGAAGAACATTCTACAGTAAGTTGATCATTCACCCACATTGGTAATCTGGGATCTTGATATGGGCTTTTCCATGAAAGAAATCTAAATTATTTTGATTCGTTTTATCTTTGAATCTATACAGTACAATCTTTACTCTGATTTATAACGACGATTACTCATAATTGACAATTATCTAAAAAATATCTAGAAAGAAATGTGAAGTCATAGTTCAAGATTTATTTGGAAAGCATTTTTTAGTTTCGGCTTCCGTGATCTCGCCTTTAATACTGTCAATTTCTACTCGAGTTCCACTTCGATATCCATATAATTCAGGTTTCATCCATTTGGCCTCACACCATTGAGAATTATTATTGTCTGATACTTCGATTCCCGGAGCACGAAAAAAATCATAAAGAATCCAATGTGCGGTTTGCGCTTCTGATGATGGCTCCAACTGAATCTGTAACCGGTCGTTGACATCAAGTTTGGTAAACTTGAAAAACCGACATGGCAAATTCGCTTTTGTAGAGCAAATAATGTTAATAAGGATATTAGGCAGATCGTCAATCGTTGTCTTAGGCTTTATTGTGACACCTGATTCATCTGATTTGTTGATCTTTGTAGGCTTCAATGTGAATCCTAATTTCTTTAGATCCTTATCGCGAATCGTTTCAATCACATACTTGACTGCAAAGTTCGCTACGCGTTCTGCCGGTTGATTACTATCTTGCTTTTCATATAATTGTTCTTTCATAGAATGAATTATTTTTGATCCATTAGATGGATCAGTAGGCTCTGTAGCAAGACGAACAAGTTGCTTCTTGTATCGGTCAGTTATTTCAAAGGCTATTTTCCGAGCTGCCGAAGAAAATTCCGTATGATCACCCATAGTATTGAAAATGGATAATTTATTTTGAATTGCGTCGTAGTCTTTTCCATAAAGAAAGTCCGAACCGACGTCCAGCGCTGTATCTAAATATTCACCAGCAACAGGCACATATTTCAGACCTTTGCCTAGATATTTGAGTATCCCTGCCACGCTAAAACATTTAGCAACATGAGAGTGCTTATCTGAAAATATGATACTCATTTAATGACCCACTGCTGGGAAAAGACACATTGTAGAATTTCACTGAAGCCTCATTGGGATTACTTTCTTGCGAATGAACAAACGCTATATTTACTAGAGCTAAGAAGAAATCACGTTCTGAATATTTACCAATAGAATGAAAAAGTGTATTTTAACATCAATACAGAAAAGCTATATACAACGTACGGGTTAGAAGACGAAAAATTGCTTTAAAAAATCATCTTTGGTGAGAGCAAAGTTTGATTTTGAACTTAGGAAGAAATCAGAAATGCTTGTCAGACCGACAAAATGCAACATACGTGCTGAGTGAACCCTTGAGATTGTGTGCTACAATTGATGTATCACCTCCAGTCATCGAAAAAGCAACTAAACTTTGACCCAGTCGTCGTCGAAGAGCATCATAAAAGATTCGAAGATTCCCAGAAGGGTCCGATTTAAATAGCGTATGGTCATTTTCAATATCGATTAGATTTTTTGCAATACGTTTAAGAACTGTGTATCGATGGGTAACCAATCGACTCTCACGACCAGAGTCTCGTTCGGTTTTAAACTGTTTCAAAAAGTTACGCCATGACTGTTTAGCATTTGGGTCTGTTAGATATTCGTTGCAAAATTTTTCCATGGAATCCAAAGCATCAATAAAGTCGTTCTGTGATTCTTGACACAAAGCCATCAATGTCCGTGCTTCTGGACAATTATCCTTGTCGATAGCCAACTGATATGTTTCTAATATTTTATGATATGAAACAGAAAAGTTCTCTGCCACCGATAGTAATTCTTCTTGTTTGAGAGCTGATAAAAGACGAGGATTCATAGACTTTTCTTTGTCTACAGTTGAGGAAGGAGGCCGTGTGGAAGTATTTTCTGACACAGAAACCGTCTCTTCTGAAAGAGATGGTTCTGATTTTTGCAATCCGAAAGCTCGCCGTCGTTCATGGAGAGCAATATTAAAACGCTCAACTCGTTCATGTAACGATCCTAGTTCATATATGATATCTTTGTCATGTGGAGCAATTTTATGAGCTGTATTCAAAGTTTCCAATGCGTCTAAATAATTATTTTCGGCGAGATACATACGTGCAAGACGAAAATAAGCTCGAGCATGCTTTGGATTTAGAAGAAGACAATCATGAAGTTTATTTGTGGCCTGATTGGAATCTCCAAGAAATTGATAAACAAGTGCTTGACGAAAGAATACTTCAGCACGATTATGCTGATTTTGCGGTTGAGACTCTAATGCATAATTAAACTGTTTGAGCGCTTCCGAATATTGTCCAAGTTCGCTATAAACAATACCCAATTGAAGATAACTTTGGAAATCCTGAGCATGGATACGTGAAGCTCTTTGAAAATCTTCTTTCGCTTTTTCATACTGCCCAAGGTGGGCAAATGTTCGTCCTCGCCAACATAATGAATATGTAGTTTGATTTTCTTGATTTTCGTTTGCTTTATTTAAATCGGATAATGCTTCTTTATAATGACCCATTGTGCAGTAAACCAGAGCTCGACTTAAATATCCATAATGAGTATCTTCGGTTCCTTTTTTCCGAATAAATTTCGAAAAACTTTTAATCGCATCTTTATTGGCACCAATTTTCCATTGTGCGAAACCTATTTCATAATATAGATCAATGGGAATGTTTCGGCCGAGTTTTGTGAAAAATTCAATGGCTTTATTAAAAGCGCCGATGGCTTCCTTATACTCATCATATTCATCCAATTTGTTACAAGCACATCCAAGTAAGTATTGAGCTTTGCCGTACTCATCAGAATGCTGTTCAACATGCAGAAATGCCGTTTTGGCTTTTTCATATTGACCCATTCGAGCTAAACTGCAAGCATCAACGAATAAATTTGAAACAGGAGCTCTGGACATATCCTTCATATATCAAATTAAACGAGTTTATTTTGAGGCCTTTTTACTTTCTTACTTGATTAGTTGAACTTGGAGGCAGAATCTGACTTGTTCGTGATTCATCTTGTCTAGGACTCTCAACTTCCATAAATATTTAGAAATATCAACACAAGCGTGATCTTAATATTTTAATTGAATAAAAACAATCAGAATTATTTGTTTTGTATCTACATCAAAGAAAAAGATAGGTATCGTAGTTGAGATGCAGGATGTTTTTAGTTTTTTGATCGTTTGTCTTATTATTGGATGATTTCTGTCTGTAGTCGGAATTATTCTCTTACA